TTGTTTGTATAATGGTTTATGTGGGGAGATGTGGAGAATATCTTGCTATCGATACTAATATTATAAAGAGGTAAAATTTGTAAGTTTGTAGGTAGGGGGTAATCTTTGGAACCGCTGGTCGGATTGCCAAAATTCTTTCACTGATAGATAGCTACAATGTTCCTGAGTGCTATAGGCTATAAAACATCACGCTATGATCAAATGGAGCTGAGCAGCGGGTGAAACCGCGCGAGAATAGCAAGGTAGGTATTAAGCTTGTATAGCTAGTCTCTGATAAAGTGAGTCAATTTCAGTCATAATATTAGTACGGTGAGTAAGCTATAATGCTTGCAATTCTAAGGAGGATTAAAGAAGTCAATGTACATAATATTTTTTCTACCTCTCCGAAACCGAAAAATTCCGCGAATCTAAAGATTTGTTTCAAATTCTATAGTAACATACCTATCACATTAATTACTACCTATTTAACATAACAAAGCCTTGTTTTTAAGTTGCAAATCTACACTGTCTTATCTCGTAGTCTATAAGAGCTATTTTTGGTTAACACTGCATTCTACCGATATAATTTTGTACGCACATAAAGTTGCGAGGTTATTTAAATAACTTAATTTCCATATACACGTCATGGTTGGTACTTATCAAGGCTATAGGCACGTACAATAGGAATAATGTACTGACACCAGTATATCAAGCTACCCCAAACTATGTTTCTTTAATCGATTATGAACTTTATATCGAATTCCATAAAGTCTAATGTAAGAATTTTCCGGATAGCGTATACTTTTGGAAGAATTTAGCTCATGAAGCATTGTTGTGGTCAGGGTTGTCTGGATGACGTCATCGAACAGAATGGTAAGCAATGAGGAAATTTGAATTTAGAACTCAGGATTCTTTTTTACTATTTTGTTTTTTTTTTATGTTGGGGCCCCTGGCCAGTATGTGTAAATTGTGTAATTGCATATTAGCAATTTAGTTAAGTTGAGAGTTTATTACTCGTATTATGTACATAAACGTTACTTGTAAGGGGTTTGTCTATGATAATGGTTTAATTATTGGTACTGACCGTCCTATTTGAAAAGTATTTAACGTTTTTGTAAGAACCTTTTGAGTGAAAATAAGATGAAACGATGAGACTTAGGAAGAACATAGGTCAAACTGCTATAGAATTAAGCAATGCATTAGTTTTACGCACTCTTATTAGTAACTCAGAAGAGAAACAGTCCGATAAAACAACGCATAACCTCCGAAAAAAAACGAACAAAGAGAGCCTCTTTTTGTAGGTTAAGCACACCGTACACAATGGAACATGCGCTTGATATACGAAGCTCTTATTTACAATAACTTAAAATTTAAGTAGCAACACTGCATTGCCTTCTCTCTTTAACAGCAAGGATTAAAACCTGTTTTGACTTCTACCATACTATTTCCTACGCGACGGTTTGATGGCGATATGTTGTAACATGCAAAAATAAAAAGGACAATCTATTCGTCAGCCGCTACAATATACGACCTCGATGATTCCACAAAGAATAATAGCTTCCAACTTTGAAAATTTGAACAAAGACGAAGGGGGCCAAAAAAAAACACTGGCCGGCTTGGTACTCAATGGAGGTTGGTAGTATAGACGTTACGCGAAGGTCTCTGCTCCCTCGGCAGACGCGCGCTGACTCACGCGGCCGCGCGCTTCCGCCTGATAGCAAGGTCACCGGCCGAGACGCACACCACCAACAACACTCACACAGAGACACGTGAAAGTAGTGAGAGCACGCTCGCAGCCAAACGCCTTTTATTTTTTGTATTTTTTTATAACTATACCTAATGAATGACGCCTGTAACCTTTGACCGTATAGATAACAAATCATAATAAGGTAGTGAACGAATTGATATTACCGTATTAATATTATTACTTAACAGAATTTTATTCACATTCTGTTAAAATCATAAAAGTATCGGATGCGTCACACATCTTATTACGACCAACGAATTCCAGATAAAATTCATGGTATTTTTATTGCTCAGAGCTCGCGATAAACTCATGATTGGAACAATCATATTGATACCCCCGTGAGTTTGAACTCACGTCCTCTTTTTTATGTTATTCATTTAATGACCATATAATTATTATTAAAAAATTTGGTTGTAAATTAATAAGTATATGGAAAGATATTTATTAAATTACAATGAAATCAGTAAATCGAGTTTATTAGTTATATCTAAGCTCATTTATACTGAAATAGTCACAAATAACGCGGTTTGTATAATAGAAAGCTAGTTTAATGTATTGCAGCATCTCATAGCATGACATGCAGTTATTTATTTATGTAAATCAATTCATGAATATAAAGTTTCCGGACTACAAATGTATTTTAAACAGGCGGAGCTGATTTTTCTATATTTAAAAGTTGTTTGTCTGGTCGGCAAAGCTGTGGCCGGTAAAAAGTCAATAACATTAGGAATAACTCGGCCTGACCGCTAACTGTAAAGCTAATGGTTAATTACTGCAGTAGTTCAGCGATTAATCAATTCCATCCGGCTTAGTACAAACAATGAGCCAGCTAAGATCCTATTTCAACATTCGTTTTGCAATTAAACAGGCAGTGTTGTCGGAGAACGGTCCGTAGATGCAGACACGATAACAATAACTGTTGCCAAACAACCAGGACCACAATTTATGAACATTACCATAATAATAACATCGTCCATAATGAATTATAATGTTTTACATTATTCATAACTATTACTCGACTCTGCTGTACGTTAATGTACCTATCTATAAACATTAATATTTATGCCACTTTTCCAATAGTCGCTCTTAGGGTAATAATTCTTATGATAATGCATAATTTAATAATATAGTCGAATAAAATTGACAAATGTTTCAGCTGCAGAACAATACGAAAAGCAAACAAGCGGGATATAAAGCAGCTTTAACCATTAGAAAAGCTCAATTTTCGTTAAATTGTAAGTTTCATTAATAACATCGAGTCAGGCGAATGCAATGCCAATAAGTAATGACTAATTTATATGCAGACAGTTGCTTAATAAGCGGCCGTGTACCGTAATGCCGCTGTTTTAATTAATTTAAATCTAACTGTATATAATATTTACCTAATACGATACCGATCACCAATACAATTACCACCCACATTCTGGCTGTGACGAAATCATTAGTGAACGAAGGTGTGTCTGGGTGAAACAAGTACCTGTACTTCGTCAAGGTAATGCAAATTCGTATGACAAAACTGAATTGGGTATGATAATTGGTGTAGGTTTCGCTCCGGAATAAATTTCGTTGTTTATAAATTATATTATAATGTATCAAGGTTTTTGTTTTACGTACGTTAACGCATTCACTTTGGTTTAATTGAGGTTATTTACTTACGTTGTAGAAAACTTATAGCTCAAGTAAAATACTTCTTGTTTATTATAATACAGATCTGAGAGATTTAAGATATTCTAGAATGAAATTCTATTATTAATACAGCCAGAATAGAAGGTCTGGTATCGAATTAATAATGAATACCTATCTACTTATAAAGCTGAAGCTACATTAATATGCAACTTTTTGTCGGGCGCTTGCGTCGCCAGGTCGTGCTTGCAGTAGAGTCGTGTAGCCTGACTTTACTGGCGTTCGTAGATCACGATTTGCGAGGCCAGATTGTTACAGAGGTGCTTTATAAAAAGATGCAGTTGTATATGTATTATTTTAGTATGAAGAAACATGTGTAGATCAATTGCCAAGGTCATTTTGAACTTTTTAAAGTTCCATCGGTAGACGAAACAACAATAAAATTATTTAAAAAAGTTGCATGCATTCTAAAACTCTTGGAATGCGCCATAAAATTAGTCATTTCAGACTTTTTATGCGAAACAGACAGAAAAGAATGTTTGCGTTGCGTTTATAAATGTTTCAGGAAATTCGGGAGCGTTGAGGAAACTGAGCATCATTTTTTTAACTTTTGATAAAGTGATTGATGTTAATTAAAACGGAATATTTATAGTTAGCAGATATTCTAATACAAATCTTACATATATTCTGATAAACTCGTCTAATATAACCTTTGGACAATATTTTTTTTATGTTATCTGCTTTAATAAGTCCCGAAAATTAAAGTGTAAATTCATAAACAACTTTGCGCAACGCACACAATTCCTCGAATATCACGCTTACTGCCTCGGTTTAGAACATTGAATTCGTGTTATCCATCAGCAGTTGTAGACAACGTCACAGATAAATCTGTGATAAAAGGTCCGCTAGCATACCTACCTACTTCAATACCTACTTATCTTTATCAATATAACGTTACAATAGTTACAAATGCACGTATATTTCTGCACATTTAGAAATCTGAAACTACAAACGTGTCTAACGTTAAAGTTTGTTTATAAAACCAGTGCCAGATATATTTCACCATTATTAAACACCTATTATTTATGGCACACCGAATCGCAGGTTCATCACATAATAATAGATGCCAAGCTTCGTTTTATAACCCGTTAGTTGAATGCATGCGTTACCGAGGCATGAGACAATGCGAATTTAAAAATAGAGGCTAGCGCTTACCTTTCCTATTTGCCATTTAGTTAGCATGTCCGTTATCTATGAGCCTACGGGTTTTTATTATGGGATTATAATTTAACAGGAAACCAGAAAAGTAAAAACCTGGGTAACAAATTATGATACTACAGGTGCAATATACATAATTGTAGTATATCGAATTCTGTTTACAGCATAATATGTATTTATAAATCATGCTTGGCAACACTTTAATGATCTAACACTTGTGTACGCGACTATCAACATAAACACACGGTAGGGGCGGCCGGCGCGAGGGGCGGGGGTGAGCACCCTTCGCGTCACGTGACGAGCGACCTTCAGGCGGCGCACCGACCTTGAGCGGCGCTCGCCCCGCGCGCGGGTCAGAGGTGAATGCACGCGGTCGCACGCCCCGCGTCCCGTGCCCGCTACTCCACCGAAATTCACCGACTGTACTACTCACCTCGATCCTGTCTACGACTCCATGGCTCTCACAAGTCAACTGCATTTAACTTGTAGTTACTATCCCGGCCTCGAGCACCCACCCGCCGAGAACAGGTACCAGCGCGACGCGGCACACCTTTCCCATAAAATACAACCGACAAGTTTATTGACATCAAGTCTCACCAACTATTGCGCAAATGTACTGATCTTTCATCTGCTCAAACACATGCACAGTCTTCGTTCGAATGTAAAAACACTTTTCGTACAAAATTATGATGTCTATTCACTCAATAAATACTTTTTAATAAGAAAAACATTGAACACAACGCACAAATTCGGGCGACAGCTACACCATGTCCTCTCACCTCCGCAAAACAAAGCGGAATAAAGTTGTATCGCGCGGCCGAGTGAGCGTGACATCTCGCGACTACTCGCGAGTCGAGGTCGTCAAAACAAAAGGTAAATATTATCGACACCTGGCGGTTACTGAACACAATGGTTATTTCAGTTTATTTAATCGTTCATTTCATATGTATTTATTGTAGATGTCGCTATAAATGTACACACATTTCTATAAAATGTTTCGTAACCTAAACTTTTACATTAATCATTAGAATTGTTATTACCCGTCATTTTGAAACAAATAGATTTAATGCGACTTTTATAATAAAATTATATTTTACAATTTATTTAGACTAACACTAAAAGTCACTTTGTTATTGAAGCCGATAATAGATGGCACAACTATCGTAGTTACCTTGATTCCTTAAGAGATGGCAGCACTAGTTTAATAAAATAGTATTATTAAAGTTTATGATTTAAACATTTTCATCTACTTTTTATTCTAAAAAAAGTATTATTCATATTGTGTTTTTATCCAATAAAAATTACAGTGATATTTTTAGTAGAGTTTTAAAAATAATAGTCGATTATATTCGGTTTAGACATTCCAAAGTTGACTTCATTCCAAATACGAACAATCAACAAATTGAGAACAATGTTTGCATAATATTTATCTTACAAAGATCGAATTTATTTTTGTAATTGACTTTTTTCATAAACCTAGCATTTAATTTAATTATACTACTAATGAAATTAGTCAAAAACAAAATGACAGATAATCTACTAAAACAAATATTTGTTTAGTTGTATTTACAAATCACTGATTGGTGTCCCAGTGACAATTTGATTGACATTTGCTGAATAAATTCGTTGAAACAGCTGTGAAGCATCGTCGTGCGAGAATATTTACAAATAAAAATATTTCCTAGAATCTGGATACAGCTAACTTAGTGTTTGTATTCGTAACTAACATCGTTAGTTAATTGCTAGTGATATCGTTAGTGACGCTATAAAAATCAGTTTGAATGACTCATTAATTAAACAGTGTAGTTTTTCGCTCTTATTTAACTCAAGGCTGCGGTAATAAAGAAACGTTTTAGTGAATATAATGTGTGGTTCGACATAATGGTGGAAGATAATGATCGCGGTTACGGAAGGACCGCCAACAAGAGCACGTTGCTGAAGATTGTGATACTAGGAGAAGGTGGAGTGGGGAAATCATGTTTAATGAGCAGGTTTATATCGAACCACTTCGATGACCACAGTTTTCACACCATCGGAGTCGAGTTCATGAACAAAACAATAGAAGTCAATGGAAAGTCATACACATTACAGGTAATTTCTCGCCAATGTTTTAAAAAATAAGCTTATTTGTTTACTTAGACCATTTTGAACATGATCATTAGTGAAAAATGTTTCAAGACATTGCTCAAGGTTGTTGTTATATTATCACCAGCATGATTTTATTGATAAGTTGGAATTTTCCTTGGACTGTAACTTGTTGACCTTGAATAAATGCATAGTAAAAAATGTCTGACATAATTAATTGTAAAGAATAATACCTATTTTTTTAGCTTTACACACAAAATTTAGCATAATAGGTATTTAAAACTGATAGAAAGATAACTCTAAGTTACTTTTAACTTATAATGATGATAGTGTTACGGTAAATCATGCAATATTATCATCATAATATTAATTTCCTCTCCTTCTTCTGCTACACATAGTCATCTCCTATACAACACAACTGAGCTTGACCTTCAGCTCAATGCTTCCAGCCACTTAGTAAATTCCTTGTCTAACCATTTCAATCATTGTCTTTACTTTTTGTAAGATTGTTTTGTTTTTAATTATTAAGATCGCCTCAACACTTAATCCATTCTGTTTGTAAGATGCCATATCAAATCCTAAATAAATGCATATCTGCATGTGTGGGTTGAACTCAATAGTGTAATGAGGTCAGATTTAAGTTTAGAGTAACTGTTGAATAAATTTGACCTTAAATATTATCTTATTGTGAACAAAATTTGCTCCAATTTTTCTTCAATATGATCTTGATGTTAAGTTCCATTATGACATATTTTTCTCATAATTATTGATACTTTCTATTTTAGCTATATTGCTAGATATATTAGGTGCAGTGTATTTATACATATAAAAAGTGGTTTCCGCCAGTGCCTTCACCCAAAGCCCCAGGAAAAAATTTGTGTATATATTCTTTCAGACTATAGTTTGTTTTTGTGTCCTATTTAATGTAGATCCGTTTACATCCATCTATTATTCCAAATTTGTATCTACAAACTTTTACATTTATGTAATAAGGGCAGTTTTTGAGAGTCTTCTTACTCTCAATTCTTTCACTGTTTTCATATTTAAAAATCATTATAGGAGATCAAGTAATAAGCATATAATTTCGTAACTCTTAATACTTTAGTAATATTAACATAACAAACTAAAACTATGTCAAATATCTTCCTTGTAACAAGATAAAGTGCAAGAATAGCAAATAAAAAACTATGTATTATTGTATTGTTTATTCAGCTTCTTTATTTACAAAAAGTATCACCTTTAAACTCAAGGTTTTTATTATCTGCATCGAGGTAATAAGTTAGTCTAAGGCTGACTTACTTAGCATATACTTTTATGCAATGACAGGAGAAAAAAATATATAATATGTGAAAATAAAAGGAGAAAAACTATAGTCAGTATTCCAAAGAAAAAAGAAATTATATATTGTGATTTTTGCTTCGATGCTATCTGTTATCACTCTTTTAGTTTGATAACAAAAAAATTATAATCATGTATTTTTATGTAAGAAAAAAATGTGTCTAGTAGTACTTAACAAATATTTTGAATTGATCTAAAATGACTTTTGTGTTTGAAGATAGAAGGGTTATATAAACTGTTTATATTCACATGGACAAAAATTAATTAACAAGTCTATTATAAAAGCGTGTAGGACCAGACCATCATATAGGCCTAGTTTATTGTCTATACTTTCAAACTAATAAGTTATTTGTATGTTTATTTGATACGAAATATTTATATTATATGTACATTACATAATGTACAAATGCATGAGACAGAATGTAGGAAGTTGCAATATACAACAATCAAATCTAAATCAGTCTGATTAACAACAGAAAATATTATCAACTGCTAATAAAGTAATTATAATTCAGATAACAATCTTTTTCTAAGGTCAATTGATATTTTCCTTCAATAAAAATAAAAATAAATATCATAGAGCTGACTGAGCTGATTATTTATATCAAATCTTAAAAATCTCTCTTAATGTCTTTTGTAATATCTTTAGAAATAAGTAGATATACTCGTACTATTTCATAATGATATCTTTATTTTTTTCTAAGTATAATGAACAGTCTATTTAGCTGAATGTGGTGTGGATAGCATGGAAAGCAAATCTTTTCAGAAAACAGTTCAAATTAAATGTTAACTAGTACAAAATATAAATATATAAGTTCTGATTATACAGAATTTAGTTCTTAGTTTAATTAAGATACAAAGTTTCCACTAAGGAAATAGACATACATACTGACTTATATGAGACATAAGGATTCCCTTTGCAAAACACCAGATGTGTGTGGCCATTAGTGCATGAGTAATTGCGAACATCCTAAGTCTATCGTAATAATGACTCAAATTGTTGTTTGTACAGTAGTATTACTAATACACTTTGGCAGCTAGTAAAAAACTTAAAAGTGTCACTTTTTATGGTAACACACTCAATGGGTACGTGACGTGACGTTACGTGAGCCCTATTTTTGCGGGTCTGCGCACCGATAGCAACTCAGTGACTGACCAGAACTGACCAGAACTGGTTTCTCACAGAGCCAATAGATGACTACAGACGGGGCCCACCAGTGCCGATGTTCAGCCGGGGTTGCGGGGCGAGCGCAATAAGATACCGCGGCTTCGTCCTAGAGCAGGAGAAGGAACGGTTTAGTCAGTTAGAGTCTATCACGCGCTCTCGCCTTACCCTGGGTGAGAGTAATCATTTGACGTTGTACCCTGGCAAAAAAGCCCCATTTTTAAAACTCCGCTGTCCGACAGCTTGTCTCCCTATTAATAGGTTTGGATCGAAACTGACTATTAGAAATAAGTAGATATACTCGTACTATTTCATAATGATATCTTTATTTTTTTCTAAGTATAATGAACAGTCTATTTAGCTGAATGTGGTGTGGATAGCATGGAAAGCAAATCTTTTCAGAAAACAGTTCAAATTAAATGTTAACTAGTACAAAATATAAATATATAAGTTCTGATTATACAGAATTTAGTTCTTAGTTTAATTAAGATACAAAGTTTCCACTAAGGAAATAGACATACATACTGACTTATATGAGACATAAGGATTCCCTTTGCAAAACACCAGATGTGTGTGGCCATTAGTGCATGAGTAATTGCGAACATCCTAAGTCTATCGTAATAATGACTCAAATTGTTGTTTGTACAGTAGTATTACTAATACACTTTGGCAGCTAGTAAAAAACTTAAAAGTGTCACTTTTTATGGTAACACACTCAATGGGTACGTGACGTGACGTTACGTGAGCCCTATTTTTGCGGGTCTGCGCACCGATAGCAACTCAGTGACTGACCAGAACTGACCAGAACTGGTTTCTCACAGAGCCAATAGATGACTACAGACGGGGCCCACCAGTGCCGATGTTCAGCCGGGGTTGCGGGGCGAGCGCAATAAGATACCGCGGCTTCGTCCTAGAGCAGGAGAAGGAACGGTTTAGTCAGTTAGAGTCTATCACGCGCTCTCGCCTTACCCTGGGCGAGAGAAATCATTTGACGTTGTACCCTGACAAAACAGCCCCATTTTTAAAACTTCGCTGTCCGACAGCTTATCTCCCTATTAATAGGTTTGGATCGAAACTGTCTATTAGAAATTAGAAGAAGTCGTGGCCAAAGTCCTGATGCTCAGAAAAAAGGAAATCTAATTCATAAGTTCATAAACGATTTGCATGATTGTTAATGAGCATGTCCTTGCTCCGACTCGTACTTAGCCGATTTTCTAGTAGCTGTGACCACAACCTTTTTTGAAGGCTGGATCCGCGCTTGCTGTTGCTGCTATTACAACAAACAGTTCCGTCTTAAAGGGAACCCTTCTTGCGCGAGTCCGACTCGCACTTTGCTGCTTCTTTTTAGAACACTGCAGTTTATTCATTTACCCGAACTATTGAGTAACCATGGCGTTCAAAGTAAATAGGTATAGGTAGGTAGGTAGGTATTACCTTGAAAACTGATAACACAGGCTCTTGATTTATTATGCATGCATGGGTTTAACGAAACTTTGTTTAGTTTGGCATCATAATCTCTTCCTAAGATTAAGAAGTACTTCCTAAGTGTAAAATACGATATAATTGTTAACTCGTAGGTTTTCGTTATTTACAGAATTCTAACTATTATGAATATTCTAGCACTAAGTGCAAGCCCAATAAGGTACCGCAGTGCCGACTCAAAACAGGAGACGGAACCGGGTGGTTTTCTTTAACCAAACCCCTGACATTTCGGGAGTGTCTTTTGTGTGTCTTCGATACGAGAAGTAATTGATGATTTTCCCGCATTTTTCCCCTCAAAAATGTATCTATGGACTGATGGACTCTATCATCTATTTTGGTTTCTCCCTAAATTCCCTAATTGATCTTCAATAACTTTAGCTTTGGGTTGCTTGGCGTGGCATGTGCCAAGCATGGAAATTATTAAAGTCAAGTCAAGGCGAATTTCAGTTCAGTTGAAAGGGACTACTGATTATTTCATATTTGATTAAGGTACCTATTAAAAAAGAAATTTCTCTTCCAGGTATGGGACACAGCAGGACAGGAACGCTTCAAGTCTCTCCGGACGCCTTTCTACAGAGGCTCCGATATATGCATCTTAGCATACGCCATAGACGACCGCAGCTCCTTCAATAATATAAAGATGTGGCTCAATGAGTTTCTACACTACGCTGGAGTGAAAAATGGCATTGATAGATACCCATTTATGGTGGTCGGCAATAAGGTATGTACATAGTAATGATAAACAAAAAATATACTACATAGCGTACGTGACATCGCGTAGGTTAAGCTGCGTAGTTAGACGTCGACACTTTGCCTTGTGGCAAATTCCGTTTCTGCATTGAAACCAAAGAAGTGGCATTAATCATGGAAATTTTGGTCGATAAAGATGGCGGCGAGAAAGTAATTACATAAGATAGTACTAGCTTATAATTAAATAAGGGCTTTTATTTAGTTATTATACCGATCCGGACTGCTGATGAGCAGTTATACAAAATGAAAAACCCTATAGATATTGCGTGAACAACTATACAGTAAGGTAAAATTGTTCATTTCAATCGACAATAAATCAGTCATGTTGACAATGGCCCCAAATGCCAATTATTGTGGTTTGTACAACGATCGAAGTGTCACGGGCGCAAATCTGATACACGATGAACCTTTGCGGTCACGAACACTGTATTCCTGTACTACTTAAGCATGTTATAATAATTTGAATAGCGCATTTTAAGAGTTCATTAAAACAGTTAGGTAGTTGCGTGATTTGCGGTGATTTCGTGCGTGCGACTGGACTTCAAAGACCCCTTCAAAGCGAGGGTCATACACGATAGGAAAGTCCGAAAAGTTTATTTAGAACGTTATTTTAACAAAATTTTCCAGAAATTAAGTGAAGATTTTTATGAGGAGCTTGAGTTCTTGTATCTATTATTTTAAACTCAATAAAGATGCTACTAATTGCACAAAACCTTTCTAATTGTTTTAAAATCCACATCCTGTCTCTCCATTTCTCCTGTTTAATTTGATATTAATTATAAAACCGAAGCATTTCAATTTTAATTTGCTTCGAAATTTAATATACTCAAAGGTAAACCGCATTAATTATTTCTATCGAGTCGAGCACGAAATAATTGTTTTCAACAAAGTTCTTTGTAAATGTTGATTCACAAAATATCGGGTTTAATGCGGTTTTTTGCTAAATGGCGTGATATGACGTACTTGATGGGGATTTTGTGCAATAAATACTTTTCTAAGTCTTACTTACTTAGTCAAAGAACAGAGATTTGCCATTATCATAGTCATAAACATTGTAATTATTTTGCATAAGCATAATTATGTATTTCTGTTAGTTTTTGAATCGTCATGCAGATGGGAATAAAAAAAATGCATTATATAAAATACATACTACTTTCGCACACCAATGCAAGCATTTCACAGTTGCAAAACTATATTTATGTTTGTTCTGTATTCTGAGATTTATGTAGGTACACATATTTGAATGGAGCGGGGTTAGTAAAAATTATTATGGCAATTTAGACAGACAGCATAAAGAGAGGAGAAATCAAAACAACTTCTATATTCTGACTCAAAATACTAGTAAAAAACTAGAAAAGTTAAAAAAAGAGAAACTAACTGGTAGTCTAGTATCTTCGAAATATAACAATAACCATTTCATTGGACGTTTGCAAGTACATTCTATCTTTATATGTATTTTTTTCTGCGGTCCACCGACCGAGGGAACTCCCAAAGACGGTCGATATGAAAACCACAACGCAACAAAACTCTTTAAGTACTATAAACCATGCAATCGGTTACGAAATAATGTTGACTGGTCGATTATCATTATGACGTGACTTTGTTGCTTAATGGCGCGCGTCATACTTTTACGCTACGAATTTGAATGTGATGTTTGTATCCACTTTGTTAAAGTATTTAAAAATACAAGTGTGGGAGAGCCTTGTTTTGGCACAAATAGGCCGGCTTCACTAGAGTTTTACCACGGCCTGACAGACGTGAAATAACACTTACGTTATTTTTCGCTGTGTGAGTAAGGTCAAACCGGAGGATCAATTCACTCCCCCCCATGTTCTATTTCCAAATCCCCTTTCCTTAAATCCATAACAACCCTTAGAAGGCCAGCAACACACTCGTAACTCCTTTGGTGTTACGACTGTCTATTTAGTGTAGGAGAGTCATGCTTTGGTACGAATGTGTCGGATCGATCGGAGTGATACCACGGCCTCACAGAAAATTGGCGTAAAACAACTACAGAGTTGTATTCCGTCGCGAGTGAGGTTACCGGAGGCCCAATCCTCCAGATAAATGTTATCTCAGGAATAAAATTGTTGCTGTCACTGTCTTATACAAACATTCTGACGCGACAGCATTATATAGTATTTATTGCCCAGGTAACTTTTATCTAACCCATAAAAAATCGGCCCTAAATAAAATAAAACCATCAGTCCCGTCTGTTTGTTTGTGGCCTTCTGCCATAAAGGAAACATCTGATATCTGACCGCCAGATTGGTGATGCTACTATCCACCTGTTTAGACTAAATTAACTTATTACGTTATTTATTGAACTGATAGAATATATTCGGCTCGATAACGTTACGCAAGACGAGTTCCTACCTATACTGCCGCGATAGTTGTCAGTAGATTAGGTAAAGTCGTTAGTTTGATACTGATTACACAACGTTAAGTATACCTAAACTAATTAAGGGATATTAAAGCTAATCACTGACGCGCTGTAGTAAATCATTTCGTACGTTGCAGTTTAAGTGGTGATTGTTACTCACTGTGAGTCATCGGTCGACTCAATTGATGTTAAGCTGGATTATTCTTGCACTCTAGTAAGTATAATCTTTGTGACGGCTCGGAGGTTAAGGCGCCCGCATTTCACCTGGACTTATAATTTCTAATTATAAGTTTGAAATCGCCAATCCGCTTTGAGCAAGCCTAGTGTTTAATGCTCAAACCTTCTCCGTGTAAGAGGCATTTGCTCAGGGACTTAAGGGCTTATGATATGATGATGTGTAGTAAGAAGAATTTGTTTCTGTAATATCTTTTGCGGCGATGGGATAGAAAAAGACTGAGACATGGGAAGGAATCCTACAGTTAATAGAATTAGATTGTAAAGATTTGTTAGTAAACAAACCTTAATCTCGTCAGAACTGGTCCTATTGAAGCTTCATTTGGTGTGACCAGATGTAGGTAGCTGCTTTGTGCTTTGTCTTCGAACATTTCACATTGATCTTGATCAAAGTATAATCAATATTAAGTTCTGAAAAGGGGCAATAGCGTGTTGAGACGAGAATATACACGACGCTCGCACTCTCTTGAAATTAGATTTAATGATGAAAATCTCATATTATTTTGCCAAAAGGTTCATTTTATTTACCTTAAAGTACATGCTTCATGATCTACTTTTACCACCCGTATGATTATATTCAATTTTATCAATTTCAGTCAGACGTTTCTTCGAAAGACAGAGAGGTGACATACGACCAATTGAAACAGTGGTGCGAGGAGAACAAGATTGCGACTTACATTGAGACGTCCGCGAAGAATGATAATAATGTCGTCGAAGCATTTTCCATGGCTGTACAGAGGTAAGATAACTGTTTCCTACAGCCTTAAAACTGAATGAAAAGAAATTATCGGATGGAAATCATCGGAGCAATTAATGCTAATGGTTTTTAACTTCCAATGTACAATCAGGTGTACTTAGCAATTTACAGGTTGTTTTCTGACTAGGGGATCAAACCTATGTCTTGAACACGGCAATCCATCACTGATATCAACGATCCAAACAGTCAATTTCCTAAACCTCCATTCACTGCTCACGGCTTCATCTAATTTTTCACATATAAATTGACGTGTAATTGTGCCGTTTTATGGCCTATTTGGCAAAAATAAATTCATTGTTTCACGTCTTTAGAACTAGAAGTTCATTTTTACAAATCCACTTTCAGATGGGTGGACCTTGAACAAAGAGCAGAAAAAGAGTTGGGCATGCTCCACCATCCTGACACAGTGACCCTCCACGGCTCCACTACAGCATCAAGCATTAGAGCCACCTGCTGTTCCCGATTTAGCGAGGCATGAGTCGTTGGTGCTACACTCAGTTTTAACTTTATGTGGCTGAGGTATGTTGAAAATGGACAATAGTGGATAATTTTTAATAGTATTTGTTAAAATGTATTTTATGTAGGAAGCTTTTTTTTTCCATATTTATTCAGTCCTATATTTGTTATCTATGACAGTTTTGACATCTGTCATTGTACTTTTATGTCAAACCACAGATAAATATAAACATATTTAAAAAAATAATGTTTTATTGTTTTTGTTGTGGTCTAAAATTGAATCTCAAATGATCCAAGCTTGATTGTCCAGTCCATTATTAACATATTTCAGTTTCTAATAAATTATGATCCACGGTACTATTCTACGTAATTTTCTACTCTGTCATAATATGTGATACGATTTCAAAATCTAAGTAATGAATTTTATGAATTATATTGTGGGTTTTCATAGAAAAATGATTGAAACAATCGCACCAATATTTAAGCGTAGTATAGTTTGCACAGAAAGTTATTTTTAGGCACATGTTAAAATACTTAAAATGTTTGACGCTAAATTTTATAATGACATCCCTAAGCTTGTTTATCTACGAGCAAGTCTGGTTATGCTAAAAAATCACTTAAAATAATTACTTAGGTATAACGTAGCTATAATTAAACGATAAGTGTCTTTAAATTTACTTAAAGAACAGTATACGTAAACAGGATAGTATTTGTTATTTGGTTGTGGGGATATAAGAAAAATCGTACATCACAGGAATTTTATTACTCGTATTGGTTTCACATTCCAATATTATTTAGTTACAAGTTTTTTATTTATATGGCTACAACAGAAGCTGTGAGATACTAAGTCGGTGATCATAATTAATATTGTTAGTAGAAGCTCTGGTTAGCATTTTGTCTCTTTCCAATTCATAGCAAAATTTGTTGCGTGACAGGGATAGACTATAGTCCATAGTCAAAGTAAAACAACATTTTTACACTTACCTATACACTTTACTTGCCTTTGATAAAATTTCTTGTTTATTTTGATTAACCATATTGCGCAATTTAGTTCTTTTGATTTAAATAAACCAAAGATTTTTAATAAAATGTGTTAACTTTGTTTTTGCTTACTTGAAATACTAACTTCATTTTGAATTTTGGTGTTTTAGACGTTTAAAATTCGGCCTAAACCTTTGTACATAGTGTCGTATATTGTATGATAAATGCTTAGAGATACCACAACACGATTCAAATTATAAGTTTATGTATATTCAAACTATTAATTTGGGTGAAACTTCTTTACTACCCATTCATCCTTTCAACAAAGGTTTCCCTTTTAGTGCTTCTAACAAAAATATATCTTTTTGTTTCGTGACTAATGACTTTATAATTAGGGCAGCTCCTAAATAAAGTTTTATAGTTTTTGGTAATGAGTTTTCATGAATAAACCTACAAAATTGTAGTCAAGGGTCACGCGGGCGTTGACCCTACGATCAGTTGCTTATAACTTATAACCATTTCCAATACAGAATAATGTTATAAATAAAACATGTAATATTCGCCAATATGAATTTAGTACCGTTGGTGTAGTTTAAAATCCTCTTAGGGCTGATTTTTCAATAGCCAGATAAATGTTGTCTGATTAATAAAATTGTTGCTGTCACTGTCTTATACAAAAATTCTGAGGCGACAGCATTTTAATTATTTTCCAGGAAACTTTTATCTATCCATTGAAAAATCAGCCATAATGAATTTTTTATATAATTTTTCCTTTAAAATCCTTGTAGTTGCCGTCCCTTATAGTGTTGTGTTATATACCTATTTATATATGTTTATTTTTATACATATAAACTATATGCTGTTTGTAGATTTTTTCTTAAAAGTTCATCAAACGAACTTAATCTACTACGAGTCTTTAAATATTTCGTCAAATCTTAACTTAATTAAGAACTCAACAATACTTAAGATACTTATATTGTATATGGACTGCAAATATAAATCAAAATGCTACTTGATGTAGACTCCAAAACATTCTCAAATTAATCTTATATGTAGATGAATGTGCACTATTTAACCATATTTCCGGATTTAAAAAAATCGCTTCCTGGAGGAAAGTTTTTAACATTAAATAAGTATTCATAGTTGGTACCTATATAAATACATATCGCAGTAATAAAAAGAACAGTTATTTTTGCGTCATTTTTATTTTAACGTCTACGGCTTTGGAGTAGTTTTATAATAGAAATGTGCTATTATATTTTTGTGTCAGTTTTAATGGTTGTATTATAGTGTATATTTCCATTATGAGTGCCTACTTGAAGTTGCTTTAGGTAAAGCATTTAGCTCTGATTGGCTGGTTTACTTGGAACCGACCAATCAGAGCATCGGACGTCATAAACGTGTCTTATGCAATCTTGCAATAGGCGCTCATGTGTTGATATAACTTAGACATTGTACTTGAAGATATTATTGACCAAGGTGAACTTGTAATGCATATTTGATATTTTGGTCAGTATAAAATGGTATTTCCTATGATAATCTAATATTCTAAACTCTAGTTCTTGCATGGATCTAGTAATTATAGAGATTTCCGCAAATAAACAGCCAAACATTTTAAAAGGAAGGAAGGATTAAAATATCAAATATAACATTGTATAGTTTTCATTCTAGTATGAATTGTATTTAACTATTTATATTAGAAATAATTATCATAGTATTACCTACATTATTACGTAGATGTAATGCTGATTCTCACTAAGTGCCTAGCTTTCTGGTTACCATATTGTTAAGCCGTAAAGTTAATGAATAATTTTGTTAAACTATTTTCTCGATTTGTTCGAAATTATACCGAATGTATATATTGGGTAGCCTTTATTATTTAGAGAATAAGCATGAGTTTTGCATTTTCTGTAAAATAAAAATAAATACTAATTTGGCACTTTTCAGAAGGAATAAATTTATGAATGTGTTTAATTTATTTTAAGAATGGAACGCTCGTGCTTTCTGGTTTAGAAGTCTCGATAGCGATTGCAATAAGTTTTCACAGTTATCTACAAAAGAATAAGGTTGAAAATCTATTAAAGAATTTCACGACTAAGATACTTACTTAATTTTATTGTTATCGATGTTGGGACTTACTGGGATAGATTTCTCAGTTTGTAAGGGTGCTTACAGTCGCTACTACATCCAATATATGAAGTGAAATGTATTGTAATAGGTTGTATCATCTTGGAATATATTTAATAAAGTTGCACGTTTTGTATGTATAAATAATTACTATATATTTTTATGTAATTGGTAGATTTATTGGCGTAAGTAACACCTGGTTGATATTTTGCCGTCTGGAGTGTCTACCTCAATGTGTGTTGTTGAAATAATATTTGTGTATAACTAAGCTCTATTCAATGGCTCCCCGTTGTGTATTTATTATTGATATCCGACCTTTGACAATGCTAACTTCTGGATTATAAATGATGAAAATTTCTACTTACATAAGGTTTTATTTAGTGTATTTTCTTTTCATTGTATCATTCCATACTCACTTTGGATGAAGATGATGACTTGGTACTATTCAAATAAAATTTTTTTTTAAACATAGGGCTGATTTTTATGTGGTCGGTTATATGTTATTTGAGGTATAAAATTGTTGCTGTCACTGTCTTATACAAACATTCTGACGCGACATCATCATAAATATTCCCCAGATAACTTTGATCTAAACATTGAAAAACCAGCCCTTAAATTAACTGTATTAATCAATGAATTTTGTGCTAGATTCATAGATGTGACGTCATTTTATTTTTTGCGTCTAAAACAATAGCCACCTGTTTCACAAAAAGTAGCCATAAAATGCTTAAATTAGAATTAAATCGATCAATGTAGAGTGAGTACCTATTGTTATTTTTAGACAATCGAATTATTTATTTTTGCCTGAGTCATCATCCTTATTCGAATCTCGCTGAAGTTAATGTAAGTTCATTATTATTATTAGTGCAGCTTCAGCTCGTTTTAATTGTTAAAAGAAATTAAAATGTTAAGGTAGACTTCAAAGGGAGCTTTATTTAAATATTTTATTGCACATAGAATTGGGTGATGCGTCCCTAAAAATTGAGATTCGTTCTCATGTTAATGTTGATTGAAAGCTTGATATTTTACAGTCATGGTACCTATAAAATAAAGGGTTTGAAAATAATATTAATGTTTTATTTTGTTTTTGTCCAATGACGATAAAAAATAATAAGCTTGTCCAGATAGCATAGTCTAGAGCAAGTCGACGTTGATCAACTCGGACATTGGGAGCGGTTTTTGCGCGTATAAGGTAACGCGCGAGTGCGTCTGTACGGGATGTATGTAGACTCTAGTAAGTATATCTAGAATGCGCTAGTGCCTCCGCACGAGTGGATTCGCGCGGGAAACGCCTGATCTAGACAGGCTCTAAGTTAAAAGAGAGAATCCAATATTGAGCGAATGAAACAGTGTCTAAAGTGTTTCGCTGTGCATGAATATGAGCCCCAATCGTGATTTGAAACTAGTCGGGTTCCTGATTAAACAGTTAAGTGCGTATAATTACTTTACTGTAAAAAAAATAATTTTATGCTACAACCGTAACGAAGACTTAATAAAACAAATTCTTAAATAAGTACTGACAATAGAAAAAAAAGAATAAAACAACAAAATCCCATTTTAAAATATTATAATAAATATTTTACATAGCTATCCACATTTTTTATAAAGTTCTAACCTACGGAAGAAATATATCTAATATAGTTTAAACAATGACAATATCCAACTAACTGAGATTATATAAAACTAGATATTATGCTTTACAGTACCAACAACCTATATAACAAGTGCTGCCATTTCAAAAGGAACATAGGCGTAACGAGGGTCAAGATACACTGGTCTTATTTATTAATGGCACATGCAAATATACCTATCAATCTACCTAAGTACTTTGTCGCCAATTATTTCTACAAAGTTCTGTCGATCATACTCACTGGTTTTAATTGGATAGACTCTTGACAGCTGATAGTAAGTAATTTAAACTTAAGACTGATACGCCCACGTGTATGGCAGACTATATTATCTAAAGAAAATATTTAAGTAACTCATGAAACCATACTTTTGAAAGTAGGTGTACATAAAAGTTTAATTTATTATGATATGATTACAACGAATAATAATTTGGCAAATTGAAAACCAGCATTCTATTCTTGTTCTTAAAATAAACAATAAGTATAATAAGTCTGTAACCAATTGTATGTTAATTTTATTACCTACATATATTTTGATTTTGAAAATATTCGAATTTGTGAGCAGACGCCCGTTCAAAGTTATCACAATATTCTAAGAAAGGTTAATGACTTATTATACCGCTTCCATTTTTAAAAGAGAACAATTATTCGACTTTTTTGGAACACGAACAAAACGCTGATTTCTATTAAATATTAAGGTGCGGTTACACGACGCGTGATTGCGTGTCTTTAGCATTGTTCAGATCGATGCTACTAGACAGTCTATTCTATTTGGCATCCATGTTCTGTGGCATAAGGTTCAATTTACATTAAACACAAGATTCGTCACAGACAGGCGTGGCGTATGGCTGTATCACGCGTCGTGTAATTGCACGTTAACAACTAAACGACTACATCCTCTTTGTATAACATTCATAGAGGTTTTCTAGCCTTCACCAACTCTTCGCTGACGTTCCACAATTTGGTCTCCACATCCTTATCGAAGTTGTATTTAGAGTTGTACTCAGCACAGTCCCGGTAGAATTTACCCGTTTTACCTTCGATGCTGTGGTCTGTGGCGCAGAAGACTACTGTTTCTGAACCCTGAAAGAATAAATAGAATTGTTATTAGTTGGCTAATAAGATAAATACCTATTATGTGTTGTTAAATTTCTAAGCCGTAACAAACACTTACTTGTTTAGCAGTCTTCATGAAAGCAATTAATATCGGCGCCATTAGAATGTAGTGGTACCATTTTATTGAATATCTGAAAGTGAAAGAATTTATGAAAAAAACCTCAACATTTTTCTTTTGAAACTGTATAGGTGGGTGGGCAATAAATTGTTTCATGGCTTACCTAAACAGATTGGTAGCACAGAATCCAGGGCAGACCAGATTGACATCAATGCCAGTGTTCCTCAAGTTGCATGCCAGCGCCCTCGCGAAGTAAGCATTCATGAGCTTCGAGTTGCAATACCCAGGGTTGTGACGGGGGCTGCCTCCTGTTTTCTTTGCCAGTTCAACTTCCTGCCTTATATTCAGATCGTCAAAGTTGATATTTCCACGCTCGTGCAGCGTCGAAGATACGACCACTATTCTGTAATGAGTTTATAATCGAATAAGTATTTATTATTCAGCTGTTGTGCGAAACAGTTTATAAACATAAGTACGCAAGGTAGACGCGGTATAGATAAGATTAAACACAGAAGGTCAAGATCATAATTAGTTAGCAAAACATTATCATTATTAAATTCCGATTTGATGGCATAGCGACACAATTATAGCGCTATATCCTTACTATTTAGAAATAGTTTTATTTAATAGAAAGGTAAAAATGGACTAAATCCTAGTAACATTATAAACGCAAAATGTTGTTAAGTATGGATCGTTTCCCTTTCAGGGAAAAGTTACTACCGTACATGGACTCTTACATGGGCTGCTTTTGATTCCGCTGGCAGAAGCTAGTACAGAATATTTTTCCACGAAATATAATTTTATATTGTGTTACATAATTCTAGTAAGTATCAATGTACCTATGTAAGTAGACGTCTGAATGTTAAATAAATTAAAACATCCTGTTTTAATTACGATTTAACAACAAAATAACTCAACGTATAAGGTACTTGAATACTAATCATGGGATTGTTTATAAAAAATCTCATTATTTTGTTTAAATTTACCTACTAAACAGACATCCTAAGTAGTTCTAAATTACGTAAAGAAAAACTTTGTATTTTTCCAGCTTGATATTGACGTAGACGTAGCAGTTCATTGACATTAGTAACAGTTACTTATTTTATTTATATATTCCCGAGCAGCTACTATGAAAATATTAAAGATATTAAACTCGTGGGCATCTGTTGGGTAGTTGTTTATAAACTAGGGGCCACCTGGTTACTATATTAGAATAACCAGAAGAACAACTAGGAATTTATGAATTGACGAATGAAGTACTTTTAAAAGGCAATGAAATAATAGATGGCTGTCGGTCAGTCAATTCCCTACTGAAGAAATGTATTTATAAGTTGAATGCCTATTTATCTTGATGTGTAATTTAGATATGAAACTGGACGTTTTCTTTTTGTTGCAATTTAATTATTGACATTGTAATTATGTGCCAATTTTACATCATGATTGCCTATATTTGACGTAGAAACGTTAGCAGTGATGGTGATAAGATCTACACATATTATCTAAGTATAAATGTATCGTGCTTTTGTTTTTTTTTTGTTTTCTTTCTATTTCATCCTTGTTCCGAACAAATGATACAGAGCCGACATATTATGTACTTATCAAAGTATGTTTAATTATTATTTTGACCTCTGTTCTCTTCTGTTTGGGCAATATTATTATTATAACCATGCAAGTATTGATAAAAGAGTAAGCATACTTAATATCTGTGTGTGTGAATAGTATATTTAAAGTGCGTCTTAGGGCACGGCTTACGAAAATTCCTTTAGACAAAAAAGTGTGGTAGAGTCTTGCTTTGGCTCGACTAGAGTCAAAACATGGTCTCACAGAAAACATCCGTCAAACAACACTTTCGTTGTATTTCGCCGTGTAATTATCATATACTGGAGGCCCAAATTTTAATACCCACTTCCCATCCTAAAAGGAAGTGCACTTCCAATCCTGGTGTTGTGTTTATGGGCTGGCACTGAATGTTTACCATCAGGTAATCCATTAGATTACCGCTCTATGCCATAAAAAAGAAAACAGTGGACGGTTGACTCGACGAGCGCTCGGTCGTCGAAGCCAAGCGCTCGTCGAGTCAACATGTCCTGAGTCCATGTTTTTCAGTTTTTTGCACGTGTGCATATGCATGTACCTTTGCCGCATTTGCATTTGCATTATTGCATAGGAGTGGGATTGCATCCTGCAACAAGCCTGGATTTTTGTCGCGGAATAAACACTAAATATTTTTCCTAACATTTAATGTCATGGATTTCCGAAAAGTTACGCCTGATTCTATAAATTAGCAGTATTAAAGTTGCGAGTTATCAACTTATGAGTCACCTCGGCGTCGGCCCAGAGCAGGAGAAGGATCGGGTCTGTTTTTAGTCAGTAGGAGTCTGACACTCTCTCCCGCCCGACCCCTGAGCGGGAGAAGGCATTTGACGATATTTCCCTCACAAAAAAAAGGTTATCAACTTGGACTACTGAACAAAATATTCTATGACCCTGGCCAGACGAGACTAAATGTTTGTTTATTTATCAAACACCGAGTGTTGTGGGCTATCTGAATGGCTTCTGTTGCTTTCATATGTAACGTGATGATTGATAAAACACAATACGCGTAGGTATGATATTGTATTTTAAACGGGACTGTATTATTCACAAGAACAACAACGAGGCATACAAAGCCGGATCAAGAGATTAGGAATGCTAATTGTTTTGAGGAACCTATTTTGTATTATGTATGACACATTAGGTTAATAGAATTATTTATTTAAGTAGTTACGTTAGTTGTGCGCCTTGTTGACTATAAGTCCCTATCGTGGCTCGAAACTAGTCGAGTTATCTCGAAAAACAGTTTCGCGAGTAAACTGTAAAACGTTAATTTTTGGCTTTTAACAAAATACTGATTTCTGATTACAATGAACTTCACAATATGACGTCATTCAAGTAAATACATTTTAACATAATAACGATCAAAGTGCTGGATGCACTTACAGACAATGTAATACACATTTTATGCAAGCGTGTTCCTTGTTAGTGTCATATCAATAATAATTAACCTATTATAATTAATTCAATAAAATAATAATATGGATAGACAATGACTTATGAAACAAAAACTTACAAATTACATTCTATAATTATTCAAGTTTATCTGGTTATTCAGATAGTAGCCTTTTAATATATATTTTTTTTATTTTGCAGGAAACTCTTACCTGTTTACTATTATTTTTATGAGGGGAACGCGTTCGAAAACGTAAATAGAATAGCTAGCACAAACGAGCTAATAGAATAGCAACATTACACGTGCGTTTCATAACTATCCCTGACCTAATTACGATTATGGCAGCTAATTCCAAGGAGAACAGCCAAATACGCAGGAGATATTGTGGCGCAGAGTTAATGTAAACACGGCAGTGAAAGCGTTCATAAAATCGATACCCCTAATACTGGTTCATTACTATCGCGTTTTTTTATTTATTTATACTCTAAATCACACACAGTAAGCAAATTTAATGCCCATCCGCATTCTCTCCCAGTCAACAACAGGATTTAGGATTGGGAAATGAGAATTTAATGGTTGATCCTATTTAAAAAAAAAAGTGGATATGTATAGGTATACATCATATACTTCGGAAAGTAAATTATTATGAATGCCCACTGCTCATGGGAATATGAGTCCCAGTGTGACTTGAAATTAGTCGGGCGATTTCTCTACGACTTTAAGTAAATATGTAGGTTTTGTTTAAAATCACAAACTGACAATTCGAGTTACAACCAACCAATCTATACACATTTCATGTTACAATAATAAGTACAAATACTAGTACTAAAAATTTAATCTCCTGTAAATAATTGAAGGTAATGTACGTAATTAATAGTAATTATTAATAACTGTCACTATGATTGATGTAAATGTTATTAAATAGTTTTCAAACTCATTGTGTTAGTTTTATTATTTCAGAGATTACTATGATAATGTGTGCAAATCTATGTAAGAGATTTTTTATCTAATAAAACTATTCTATAGGAATTTATAGATTAAGGAGCTAATTAGGTGATTATTTTTATAAGACTAAATTATTTAATCTGTTTACCTATGAAATTAATGTTACATCAAAAACAGATTGCATGATGTGAAGCAACACTATAAACAACCTCTTTTAAAAAGAAAATTCTTTGAGCTAACAGAAAACAAAGGTGCTAATAAGCAGCATAATTCAAAGAAGTGTAGGTTACAACATACCTGCTTGGTGTAGCTCTCTTTAGAAGATCCATTAGCAAGTTCGTGAGATAGAAATGGCCCAAATGATTCACGCCAAAGTGAATTTCGAATCCCTCTTTCGTTTTAAGGTCTTGGTTCAATGGTACTACAACACCAGCATTGTTGATAAGTACGTCAATCTTGTGGAAGCCTGCCTTTACCACTTCGACAAAGTTTTCTATAGACTCAAACGATGATAAGTCTAGTTGCATGGGGATCTGAAAATAATTTGTTTACTAAGAATTATAAAAAAATGCACTACATTTTGTACCTAATATATATGGTACATAAATTTTAATTATATTTTTGACAATGATACAAAAATGTCTTTTATCAAAATAGGTAACTAACTAAGTGATTATTGAATAATGTTACATCATCTTTGATGTGTTTACTTTGAATGATTTGTTAAGAACTAGTGGTATTTGTGAGTAATACAGAAATATTTATATTAATGAGATACTATAAATAAATTTATAGGTAGCAAAAAAGGTGTAAATAGTATAATTTAGTCATCAATACAAGTTTCGTATTGGTGCGTAAAATATTATTATTACGTAACTAGGTTTTGGATTGCTATTAAGTTTCATACAGTATATAGTTATCAAATTGCTTATCCCAACCTGGACAGGCTAGAGGGTGTGTCAGGACTATTACTGACTAAATCACTCCTCCAGGCCAGGGCCATTAGCTAATAGTGGGGTATAACATAATTAATTGCTACATTGTTAAGCCTTCTAACATTTACATACTAGTTGTAAATGTTTGGTAGGATGATATCATAAAGCATACATAGTACTTATAAAAAAAGGTGAATCGATAATGTATAGTAGGCAGATTAAATTATTAGTCTGCTAATATTATAAACTAATGAATATAAAAAAACATTTGTCAGACTGTTTGTTACTCTTTCACAAAAAGCTACTGAACAGATCTGAATGAAATTCAACAAAAAGATTTTAGACTGCAATAATACAAGTGCTACTTTTTTAAACTTATTCTGCAGCTTTAATTTAATAGTTTCAGCTTTTATAGACAGAAACCGGTGTGAGAAAAATTTGTATGCATCCTAGCATAATATAGCTCCATGTTTATCAAACATGAAACCTGTGGTACATGTAACTAACAAACAAATAAATAAATAATTATTAAACATTGGGTTGTTCGAAATATGAGGAGGTGTGGAAGCAAGATGGGGAGGCCTTTGCCCAGTAGCGGCACATTACAGGCTAATAAAAAAAAATTGGAAATCTCGCCCTTTATTAACAGAATTCTAAAAATGAAAACTGGTGTAAAGTTTTGTGTGAATGTAATAATATCATCACATTAATAATTGGTCAAAGACTATATCTCTGTTTATAATATGTATAACAAGTTCTGATAATCTGTTGAATGCCAACAATGGATTACATTTTCTTGGTACAGTTTACTGTGATTTGTAAAAATGATGATGAGTGTTCATATCCGAATCCTTTTTTATTTTTCTAATTGAACTGAATCATTTTGATTTGCTTTTTTTATTGTCATAGTTATTTTGCAAGTCTTTGTTATCACATTGATTTATTGGTAATGATGAAATACAGACTAGGATTGTAATAAGGTAATTATGAGTCTATGTTAAAGTATATTATATAAGATGAAATTAAATTATTTTTTGGGACAGTTGTCAAGATTGGATAAAATAAATTTTGGTGCAAATGTGTGCTTGTGTGTAAAAACTTTAAATATTATTATGGAGCATTGTGCATTCTACCTACCCCCTATAAATTAAAATACATATTAAATAGGCATTTTAGTATAGTTTTCTATACAAATACAAAAAAATATTACTATATACAACAAATATTCCAGAAAATACAATTTCATTGAAATCTTATCAATTTATATGATGCAACAGTTATCAACAAACATTTCATCTGAACACTTGATCATCTTATCTCAAGAGATATTACTTCTATACTCAAGACAAAATTATTGCTATGTATTTAGACAGTGAAGATCTTTAATCACTAGTCGCGAAACTTTTTATAGCACTATTTTAAAATGATGTTAGCTAACTAATAAAAGAAAATCAAAATCAAATTAATAATGTTTAATATTTCACTCACCATTTCCCCGCCAAGTGGCTGCTCTTTGCGAATGAGAGCGATTGCCTCCTTGGCTTTACCAATGTCCCTGCACGCAAATATTACTCGGCCCTTCCTTCTAACCAAGGCCTTAGCAGTTTCATACCCTATACCACTGTTCGCTCCAGTAATTAAGAAGGTTTTCCCTCTCAAACACGTATTGCTCACACAGGTAGCCCATTTCCTGGACCTCCACTTGCGAAGCAAACCCAGCGCAACAATAACTGAGATAGGCACCGCCGCAACGTAAACCACAGTTGACGGCACCATACTTATGATTAATTAACAACAAAGAAAACACAACTGATTCCCGATAATTCACTTGGAAACGTTACAAAATACAGTACAACTTTTCAGCCGTCCGTATCCGTATTTTGCAGGAATTCAATTTAGTAATGGGCAACTCGAGTTATCTAACTCGGGCAACTCGAGTTAGACCGTGAGCGAGTCAGCCCGAGTTAATATTTCTGCAACTCGGGTTGAACCGAAGAGCGCGCGCCGCTCGACGCCGTCGCCCGCTCGCCGCCTAGCCCGCGATTCGCGAGGCCCGAACGACACCGAGCGAGCCCGAGTCAGCACGAACAACGAAACGTAGTCGCGTCGTCCGAGCCGCGAGCCGCGAGTGAAAGAGATGGTTCTCGTCTTCGGCGAACAAATGACAGAGTTTTAACACAAAAGATTAGATATTTGTTTTTTTTACGTTTTTGTTATTACTACTTAGTTCGTAATTTATTGTTTTGTTGCGGTATTATTAGTTTATTAAGTGTTGTTTGTCTGATTAATAAGTTTAGAATGGCTCCGGGAAACAGGAAAAGTGTGGCGTGGGAGTTTTTTCGAAAATAGACAATAATACTAAAGTACAATGCAATTTGTGTTCTAGTCAATACAAATTTAGTGGAAATACGGGTACCTTAGTGAACCACCTAAAAAAACACATTATACAATAATATAGTGAAGCTGTTGGCCCAATCTTACAACTTTCAATAACATTAAAGTCTGATTTTTTGACAAACTTATTTTATTTGGCTATCATTAGCATGGACTCGACCCCACACAGCCCGTCGGGCTCGACAAGCAAACTAGCAACCCGCAGAACGATGCACCGAGTCGAGCGTTTACTAACTCGAACGGACAACCCGGACAACGCGGCGAAGGACGCGACGTATCTTATGGCTGATCGGGTCGAGTCAACTCGAGTTGCAGCCCGAGTTGGTTATCGGGTCAACTCGAGTTACTCGAGTTATCAAAAAGACGACTCGGCCCATCACTAATTCAATTGATCAAATGTCAGTTAATGTCATAATAATGTCACTCGGTCAAAGGTCAAAAACTTATTCGTTCAGAAATGATTACCGTATACGCTATCGTATTCTCGGTGGTGTGACCGATACATAAAATAAGTAATTTTATTAATTTAATTTTTTTATAAATAAACGTTACATAATTAAAATATACATAAGACAATTTTATGATTAAAATGAGGCCGAAACAAGTAAATTAAATAGTATAGGGGGTAACTTGCATTTAAATATTTTAGTTGGAATGTCGAGAATATCACGCCACATAAATTAACTTTTGTAATGGCGCCAATTCAAGCGCGGCAAATTTAAATGTCATGAAAACAAAAACTGGATGCAAATTGTAAATGACAATGAATGATCAAAAAAAAAGTAAAGATACTTGTGAAATAGAAAATATTGAAAAAGCTGTCCTACAATTTAGTTAGTGCTTCAACATTTCTGAAAACTTAGCCTATAAAAAGGAATTTAAGCGGAAATTATAGAACTGTTTGAGACACGACAAGCTCGAACGAATGAGCGCGAGCCCTGGGACAGTGAAACAATAACGAGATTAACTGACATATTACTTATAATTTCATGTTCTTCTTGCCCATCTAATGGAGAGTAAGAACTTGCATAGCCACAACTTTGTAGCCAGGATTATTTACCAGCAACTAGCTTTCAAAAACAATTTTATTAGAACTGAAGTGCCATTGTTGTTGTTGTTTAATCTAAGTATATTCCTGACTGGGTTCTCGAGATGTCAAACTGTATTGGGAACTATCATCACTGATAGAACAATTATTGTAGCCAAATAACCTGACATTGTGATGATAGATACCAAAATATACACATAGATGCTTATAGATAATACATAACAATTATGCCACATGACGAGAATCTCATGAAAGCCAAAACAGTAGCAAGTAAATATATTGATTTAGCTAATACCTACAATACCGCCGACGTATCTTGGCGAGTCTGAAGTTAGCCGATTAGTTGCGCAGTACACAATTTTGTTCCTAAAACATCCATTGCGCAGACAAACGGCTAACTTTAGACTCGCCAAGATACGTCGGCCGCACTGTATATTGATTTATCGACATGTTGGATGTAGATTCCTAGACTCATCCATCTTCGTACTGATAGTCATGTCTGCCTAAAAGCCTCTACCAACACCTGAGTAGGCTTAAGTACATTAGATATGTAGTTGGGTCAAGAATCTGTAGAAATACGTCTACAAAAGTTGTATACCGGGTAGGTACTTTGGTTAGAGAGTATCTACTTTTTAAAATAAATCATAACCTGCTTCTTTTAAAAAAATAACTGGTCGTTGTTTTAAAGAAAATATTTTTAAAGCGAGATTGTAGGTAGGTATGTATGTATGTCAATGAAATAAAACAAAGTTTAGTAGCTGGGCCGTTTATTTGAAATACATAAGGGACAACTAGATAAAACATCTGGATTCCAGACTATGAAAAACAATTGATATGGCAACATTATGAATATAATAATGTATGAAAATCTTTATAGGCGTTTACAAGTAGGTAGTATAGTAGATAAGTTTTAAAAATGTCTAAATTATAATTTAATATAGAATTATAGAAAAACTTTAATGAGCGTTAGTTTACATACATAGGTAGGTCAAGACATTAATTTTTTATCGCATCAACGTGGGCCTTTTTTTAGTTTAAGTAGGTATAGTAATAAAATATGTTTTTTTCAACACATAAGTAGTCTTAGGTGTTGATGATATAAAAAATACATATTTATGTTGCCCGAATTTTGAAGGAACCACGGCAAAGGATCTAAATTGATTATTGATTAGTTGGGTTGGTTATATAATAACTATTGATCATCGTCAACTGCGAGAAACGCGTACAAGGACTACTTAAATATAAAAGGATGATGGATGAGGCATTTATATATCGACGGTTTGGGTTTATATGCAGACAACACAACATTTATAAGTTTTATTACTAAGGGCTTCCTCGTTTTGCGATCAAAGAAATATTTGTAAGTCTCGAGATCGACGGTAGTCTTAGTAAAACAGAACCGACGTTTATTTTATTTTTGAATTTTAGTCCTTACGCTGTTGCAAGTTATATTTGATTGCAAAACGAAGAATCGATAAACATTAAACACATCTTGTCTTTTATTTATCACATAACAACAATATTAAATAATTACACATTATTACAGCTTAGTCACCACAGAGAATGCCCGTTTTGGAAGTTTGTTGTTACCAGCGCCGCATCCGAGAGAAATTCAGCCTTTTATCATTGCTAATAAAATACATTTTTATTTATTTATTTATGATATAAAAATATGATTCATATTTCTTACAATAAAGAAATGTCTTGCGTTATGGTGTTAAGGTGTATTTTTCTTTAGCAAAATAAACTGATTTTCTCTCGGGTCCTCCATACTTTGTCAGAAATACTCACTTCTTTAGCTTCAATTTGGATTTTGGAAGAATATTGAGATATATAACACTTAAAAGTTATATTTTTACTGTTCAAGCATGATTTCTCTTTTATTATTGGCACCATATTTCTTTTTTAAATAACGACATTATTAATATTTGTGCCTTTAAAATGGGTTAATGGAATGTAAAGGGTTAGCAATATTTGACACTTGCATAAATATCCTTCCTGTCCGCTCTCGCTCCAACCGATGAGTAAAACTCTAGTTGTGATGTGACGTAAGAAGTGAGAATGATAAAAATTTTCCAATTTATTTTGTGTATAGATAAGAATGTAATACATTCAAATCGTTGTACTTATCTGTTAACTGTCTTCTAATACGCCACATCACTTTACAAACAAGTGTGAGCCATTTTGTTACTTAAAACAATCGACTCGTACACACAATAAAACAATATTTTGCTAAAAATACCTAAACGTGTAAATTTTCCATTAAAAAAATCTTAATTGAATCATCTATCTAAAGACAAAACACTAGAATTGTTTTATTTGTATTTATTCTCACTAGTCGCTCATGCATTACAAGCTTACGCTTTGTATAAAAAATCACTTTATTCTGAATAATAAAAAGCATATTCCATCTCTTTAAAAAAATCTTAAATACATCCCTCTGTGCCTATAATGGCTTCGCAATAAATATAATTTTATAATTTAAACTATTGTCAAAATTGTAGAAACAATCTCTAAATCCTTAGAATAAAAATGTACTTTTATAACACACGTCACAACGACTTATATTTTTCTTAAAAAATAATATTTATTTAACATAAGTGCACATTTAGTAACGGGAAATTAACAAGAGGTAAATATGGAATAATATATTATTATGTTATACATATATGTAATTATTAAGCACTGTTCGGGACACGACAACTGTGTTTGTGTATCTATTTATCTAATTATGTATATAGTTTTAACTAACTTTGTTCAAAAAGATTGTAGTGACCTACTCCTACAATATTTTCCCATATCATTTTCTAAAAGCCAGCAGATACATACTCATTTAAATCTTTATCTTTTGTACAAAGTTAGAAAAACTTTATTTTACACGCGTCATAATTAATAGCTTTAATTTTTGCTTGACTTGCGAGACAATGTTTTCCCACATCTCGTCACAATTTATTCAAAAACTTACATAGATATTTATTTATATTTAAAAACCATGCTCAGTTTTAAGACGCGTTATTTATAATAGGCATGTTTGTAGCATCATATATTTATCTAAAATAATAATTAATCATAATACAATTTAAGGGCACGTTAACATTACTTTTATTTCACACACGAGATTCATATTCGGAGATTAAAATTTAAATAATATTTAAGAAGAACTGGTACTGGGAAATACATCATCACCAATAACCATTAATGTCTTTTTCATTGCTACCATTATTGGTAGATATTATGTTACATGCCATTCCCGGCATACTGTAACGAGCTACGATTCATGCAACATTCTTACATGGGAGTAGACAGCTGGTGTCGTGACCGATCTACGCCTACATCTACTGTTGTTACTTTACCATCTACAGGTGTTACGCTCTCTACTTCACTATCCGGCATGATCACACACATGAATGACTTCCCACTCGACACATCTTTAGGGTAAATGGTCATAGGTATAAACCTATCACTCGTACCGTCCACGTAAGCCCCTAATCTCGAATACACTTCAGGGAAATGCTTTTTCAAATTCACTCCTCTACTTTCGAGCTCTTTCGATATGTTTTGGAAACATATTTGTCGAAACTTGTGCGCTGTTGCTGCGTTTTTCTCACCCGCGTTACTTAATTTAGAAGTTAGTATTAGGGTTTCTCTATCTTCTGGGGTGGACTTGCTGTCTCTTCTATGTCGCCTTCTATTTTGTTCTTGTATGGCAGCGGTAACGGTTTTACTGAGACGTAGTTTGGCACATCTTGACACCATTTGTCTTTCCCATTTCACGGCACCTTTTGTCGGCACTTCACTGATAATACACACAGCCACATATAAAATCACTCTCGTCTCAGGATTGTAAGCTTTACAAAGTTTGACTACTTCTGTGTATAATTCAACACCCATTTCATTCGGCTGCAGAGACGTCCACTTCATAAATTCTGGCTCACTTAAATACTGGTAGCCGTGCGTGGTGAACTTTTCTGCAGCTTCTGGACTTGTAAAGAATACTTTAACAACGCCTCTTCCTAGCGCTAAGTAGCCTTTGTGAGCTATGGTGCTAATTTGATGCAAAGCGTCGGCGTCTTCCTTTGCCGCTGATATGATTTGTCTGCATAGAGTGCTTGCGCGAGTGTGTAAACAAACTTTCCTATGCTTTTCCCAATGTGCCCTGCGGCATTCCTTTGAGCAATACATCGTAGTGCAATTATGACAAGTCTTGTAGTGTCGTTTGGCATCAGGGAATGGGGCTCGAGAAGGACATTTTGGATATTTACACTTGACGAAGGCTTCGTCAGTACTATTTTCAGTCTGCAAAGAAGCTAGTGAAGCTCTGGAATCGTGGTGAGTTAAGTGAGCATCGTTTGGGCGTAAAGCTGCGGCATCAAGGCTGGTACGCCGGTCGAGAGACACACTCGTATGTGCAAAGGGCTCACTTCTCCGTCGAGAGTGCTCGCCTTGCACCGAACGTGGCCGTCTCGATTCTTGCATGGCGCCCAGGTTATCAACTGTATCCTTGCCTGAAATTATAAAACATTTAAACTGTATAATTTTTATTTAATTTAAAGACACCTTCCTTATGCTAGTAGTTTAACATCGAGAAATCTAGTAAGACTCAGAACCAACGTTGAAAATCAAAATAACAACCATGCCGCGGAGGACATATCATGCTGCCTAGTCATTATACAACAAGGTGAGATGGAAAGATAACCATTTACACAATACTCCTAGACACTAGACAGGATACCTGGTAAATCCGTCAGATAGCGTAACATACAGATATTTATAATAATGAGCATAAACAACTGGTTACTTGTGCTTAGTGTGAAACTATATTAAATACGGTCCTAGTATTTTGTGAAGAAGTGGTAATGTAATAGAAAAATTGGAACGGCTCAGACTTACATATCGTTCCTACCTGGTCGGTCGTGTTCGGGGCTGTCCGTGATAGAGCTGTGCCCTTCGCTGGGGGTGCCCAGGAACCGCGAAGCAGGGGAGGCGCTGCTATGCCCGCTACTGGCCAGTTGTTCGTACCGAGGACTCTGAGGACGGTTATAGGACTGGTAGGACTATTTTGGCTATTCTACCAGTAACAATTTTTCAAAGGAATTATAATATTACGTTTTATTTCTTCAAGGTCACCCGTCATCAATGCAGACACTCTTAAACTATGCAACCACCGGTATATTATGTTTATTTTTGAATTAGTCCTGATTTACAAGAATCATTAAGAAAGTGCATGTACCTTGCCACCCATCAAATAATAGGGACTTGAAGCCTTCCTAGGACTGGGCTGAGGCGTAGGTATCCTCGCTGGCTGTGACGGCAACCCCAAGAGCGAGTCCAAAACGTCTTCGAGAGTAGTGGAGCCAGGAGACGGTCGTGTGATACCTAAGTTCAGGGAACGTTGGGAATCTTGCCAGTCTGGAAGTCGGTATCAATGATTTATTAGAATGGACGAAGGACAGGTACCTATTCCGCGAATACAATTTTATTTTGCATATTTGTTGCTTTGGAAACATTTACCAATTATTGTGGTTGGTTTGAAGCGTCGAACTTACCTTGCACTGTGATTAGGTACCTAGGTACTACAATTAATTTTTTTTTTTATGAAGTTGGTAATAATCAGAGAATCAAGCAAATTGAGTAATTTTACGAGCTTCTTTGTAGTATTAATGTACCCTAATTTGATTTGAGATAGATTTTTGCGTCATTAGGTTCAAATTGTATTAAAATAAAAAATAAGTACAAATAATGTGCTGTAACAGTTAATTAAATTGTACAAAAAGCTGTGTATGATGCCAATAATTTTGCTTGACTTTCTCATAAAGCAATAATAAACAACATAAATAAAGTCACGTACACAGAAATAAAAATAAAACAAAACACATAAAATAAAAATGAATATATTCAATAATCATTATGATTAAAACGTAACTAAAAGTACAATATTGAAATGATAATGAAGACAATATCGTGTCTCCGTCATTAACATGAACAAGGTACCGAGATTCTAACATACAAATATTATACCCTATAACTACGTATTGATATTACATTTTCTTTTAGGTACTTCTATATTTGGAATTTAATGAATTGTAGAGAGCTGCAGTAAAAATATTGAAATTTGCCGCCATTTTAATGTTATAAAATCTAGGCGGCCATCATAAAATAGTCATAGACATTTTATTTTTTTATTTCATAACATCCTTATTGTCGTCTATAGTTCGTGACGCTTTCGTAGTTCGGCGGTGCGAATTTTGAACGCAAAAATTATTTTGTATTTTCTAACCTAATCAGAACCTGTATAATTTACTTAGGAGCTTTGCCCCAACATAAATTACGAGGTGATTTAAGTAGAAGGAACTTGAAATTTACTAGATTTCAGACTTATACCGTCACTTCTCACCACCACATCACATTATGGTTCTGATAACTGTTGGTAATATTTAAAAAATATATTAATAAAATATTATGTGAACAACATATTTTTTTACGTTACTCAAATATTTTGTGACATTTTTAAAGCCTGTATTTACGAATTTGGAACTGAAACATAGATTTGGAAGCAGATAAAATTGTTTTAGCACCTAAAATAAAACATAGCAACATAATATTTTATTTACAAAACTATTTATATTAACTAGCCATTAAACTAATTACTAGAGATTTGCATTAAAATAAACACACAAACAAAAATAATTTAATCTGTACATCGGACGAAATTATTACTAAAAGATATTTACTGGTTCGTGTCAGATTACTATGGAAATTATAATTATGGCAATATCTAAAACAAAAATAAAATCTTAACTATGACTATTTCATTTATAATCATATATTTCATTTAGGTACCAGAATTTATTAATGGAAACTGTATTTCCGTAACAATGATTATTAAATTAAATAATAAGAAAATCTTCTAAAAGAAATGCATCAATAATAAACATTGCATTATATTTATGTACCTTTCATAATTTTTATGTTCACGGTATAATAATAATAATGAACTAGGCGGCTGGAATATATATGTACCATACATAATAATATTGGTAAGCTGCAACATTGCTTTAAACTCATTAGTTATCTCACCGCCATAATGACATAAAATATAAAGCTGCATGTGACAAACACATAAATTAAAAGTAAGCGTCTACAAGCGAGTGCTCTTTTACAACGCAAAAATTAAAAACATTTTTCAACATTAAATTGATAACGGGAGTCCAAAAATAGTGCATAAATTGACACAAATAATAATTAATTATATAATAGGTATAATAATGGTCCTGAGTCTTACACACAGTCTATAAAGCTCTATTACATATAAGTCTTCACAAAATGAATTCGTTCACTTCATTAGAACTGAACCAGTTCATTTCACAAATAACTAAATACACAGAACAGCACAAAAATTAACGCACAGAGTATTAACGTAACATAAAAATTAACAAAGTGTAGATAGACACTGCAGGTTCGAATTCTTAAAACATAAATGCAAATTTCATGATTTTTCGCAACTATCAAATTCTGTATTGAAAGAACTTGGAAGTTCAAAAACATTGGGTTGATTTGTCCCAATGGTATGTGAAAACCACGCGTTGCGTTCGTCGTGTCGAATAGTTTCGATGCTAGCATATGTAATGCTGCTTAGACGGGAATGTGTCGTTTGTAGTGTAGCGGAACCTGCAGTGTATTTGGTGGAGTGGTGAGTGGTCACGCTCGCTCACCCGGCGCGGCTCGGTGGTCGAGGCGCAGCGATGACGGCGGCCGCGGCTGCGTCACGGTCTCCGACACCACCAGTGGCGTCTGCGGCGACTCTAGGGGCTTCGTGCCTGAAACGTACACACAAACGATTTACTAACTAGTAGAAAAAGTAAGCATTGGAAATAAAAGTCTCTTAGTTATTTCTACGAAAGAATACTTTGATGTAATTGTGTGACTAGAGGTATAGGTATCTTGTAATAAAAGTATATTAGAATAATATTTTCCAATAACTGTTTCAGTTGACATAAAATAATTGTATCGTTCAACTTTTATTTGAAATCGTGGTCGTGACAATGTTGCTTATTGTCAGGATCGTTCAACGATATTTAACATTATTGTAAAGCTAGAGGTTGTTTAATGTTTCACGAAACAAGTCAAATAGAAAGAAATATTATTACTGTATAACCGAGCATTCACGAAACTCAAACAAATTAGGTAGATTTTTATCAACACGTAACTAAAGTAGGAGGAAAATTATGAAATCCAAATTTAAATTTGGTAAAACGAAAGCATTTGTATTTAGAACAGATTTTGTCATAACTTATCTAGTTTATTTCCTTTCATCACACTATGACTGTAAGTTTCCGTTATTTCAAACTTTTTAAGGAATCCTTATAACATATTTTTTAATTTTTTTTATATTTACTTGGTTTCTTACCAACAAAGGAGCTCTCGAGCCAATATAACTTCTGACTGGACCTCGGTGAAGGTTGCCTGTCGATATCACCGTTGGCAGGCTCCAATCCTGACACGTAGTGTACAATCGCTGATGTCACTTCCTTGATCGAAGTCTGAATCTCTTCTGATGCTTTCGACGCCTCAGACGCCTCTGATTTTGGTGTGGACTGCAGTAATGAAGATGCTAGCCTGAAAAATGATATGAGAAATGATATAAGATTCTGATAAAAAAGGAATTAAACTTTTGAAAGTAAACTTGATTTCTGATCCAAGGTTCTTGTATTATTTACTGTGTATCGGAAACCAGGATTATTCTGACGTTCATACCTCTCATGTGGTGTTCGCGGTGTGCTGTTAAGCCGCTCCTGACTTCTCCAGCCGAGATAGGGCTGTCGCGCGCTGAATGAAGACCGCGCTGAGGGCGAGCACAAAGGACTCGTGCCCCTAATACTGCTTCGGGTTGATGAGCACGGGGATGTCTGTACAAAGAAGTTTTTAGGTAAGTAAAGTAACTTGTATTTGCAGACATTTTTGTCAAAGATTTTTAAATATTCAACCTTCTTTAATACGATTTTATACGATTCGGATAGCTTTATAACTCTAGAAGAAAATCTATTCCATAGGTATTAGATAGTGACTGACGGATAGCGCCACCATCATCATCATCATCATCATCATCAGCCTGATGTCGTGCACTGCTGGACATAGACCTCCCCAATTGCACGCCATTGAGCTCGATGTTCAGCTCTTCTCATCCAACCACCAACCAACCAATAGCGCCAACCCTTTGTCTATCTTTAATAAGGCAGATTAATTTATCAGATAAGTACTTATCTACTTAAATTGGTAATATGTATGCCCATGCCAATATTTATAGTAAAACTATAATCACTGTTTGATTACTGATATCGTAAAAACCTTCCTAGTACCTAACTAAGCTTTATTTGACAAACAGGACGATTAGCATCCATTAAGTGATAACATTATCTTATTATTTGGATATAAAGCTTTAAAGTTACGCAAATGGGTCATCAAATATAAATTATCTGATAGCTATAGATCTAACATGCGTGCTTTTCTATTTTCTTTTATGGAATAAGTCGGCTAACGAGCAGACGGATTACCTGATGGTAAGTAATCAGCGCCGCCCATAGACACCCGCGACAGAGGAGTTACGAGTGCATTGCCGACCTTTTAGGGATTAAGGTTTTGGAGATTTAGGGATTGGGAGGGATCGGGGGAGGGGAAGGATTGGGCTTCCGGTAACCTCACTCACACGTCGGTATTCTGTGAGGTCGTGGTATCACTCCGGTCGAGCCGACCCATTCATATAAAAATTGTATTCTAGCTCAATGCTTAGCAAACCTACGTAGTTCGAAGAAGATAAGGAAAACACATTTTTAATCACAAAAAATGCGTTGTTCTTCCCGCCATTAAGACGCATTGTCTAAGTAAGGAAGAGTAGTAGTAATCAGTAGTCACGCATCATTTATACCTATTTGTACCAATATTTTTTTAGAACATTATACTAGTGATCATTTTCCGGACGATTGGCTAATCGCCATTAAAATTCTAACAATACAATCAAGTAGTGGTACGTACAATAGACTCGTTTACATAACAAGAATAAATCGGTGAATGAACCGTTACGAAGAAATGACGAGAGAAGCCTTATGAAGGTGACGAGCCTTGGAGAAATGCAATGCTATGTCTTAGTTTGAACCAATGCACTAAGTACATTTAATTGAGGTTGGTGAACTAGGAGATAGAATATTATTAATAGATTCTTTGCCAGCACAATTGCCATTATCTATAACTAACTAAATGTATTTTTTGCAAATAGTTATTATATTTAAATGGAATGTGTATAATGTCTGTGTTTTTTCTTTTGACGAAAAGTGAGGCAAAGTGGACTAAACATAGCAACTAACATCTCGGGGTTTTTGAGTAATTAACCGACATCGCTCTTGTAGTACCTACAACTAATTGTATGGTTCAAAAACAGAAAAAATTGAATGTCGATTTTAAAGGGTGATGTATCGATGATGTATGATTTTCTGGGCTCGAAAAATCGATTTTTCGGTTAATCGATCTCAGATCGCCATCCCTATGTATCACGCACACATAGTTCATCAGGCTATCAGAACAGACTTGAAACGTCTGTTCAAGTTGGTTATGGTATAATATATACCGGATTAGAACTTACTTGGTTAGAGTTAAGCCGGCTAGTAGACCATCTGCCGAAGCTGGTGGTGTGTGGTGATAGCTGGGGTGGGGGTGGTTGCTGGTTCCCTCCAAGGCTGCCCAGCGATGTAGTCTTCGAGTTAAGTCCGCTCCAGCGCGCCGCCGAAGCGGACGCATCAGACAGTCGTTTGCGGAGAAGGAAGCCCTCTCGGGGCGCTGGTGCGTTTTTGTACCTGAAATATATGAAAAATTACATGTCTAAGTTGGTTCTCTATAAGCTAGTGTTGCAAATAATAATGAAATTGAAAGAATTGTAAACATGATCATATTACGTAGCAACTATTGCAATTAGTTCCCAATAGATTGGTACATTATATAATAGTTCACCCATCCAGAAATAACTTTACGTTGTGTTGACTAGAGCCTTTAGGTTAGGATTCACTGACTCATAATAATAAATTGGCAACATTATATAAATAATAAGGTTAATATAAGCGAAATTAATGTCTACACGTCTGAATTTTGGCGTTAATAAGTATAGTACAAAATATTGGCATTTAAGCAGAAACGATAAGATAAAACCGAATCTGTTAAAATAAATACATTAACAACAAAGTGCTAAATATGTCGAAATCACTATTCAATATTTGATGATTTTAGTAAGTAAACTTAAGTCGCAAAGTCAAATAGTTATCTGCAAACGAAAACACGTTCCTAAATAACCAATTAAAGGGTCTTAAATAAAGGAACGGAGTCAATAGGTTAATTACTGCTTAATTAATTGACAGAAACCGGCTAGATAATGGTAACGGTTTAGCCACGCAAGCAAGATATTACATAAATTAAAGGGATGCCAACGTATTAAAGTTTTACAAGCCGTAAAAATTATATCATAAACAGTTATGTACAGTTATGTAAATAATTAGAAGTTCCGTTATACGTTTACTAAGAAAAACATTTGCGATTGTAATTATTTAGTCATTTAATAAGGATATGAAGAAAAGTATTTACGATTGTTCACATTATAATTACTTAGTAATTAAATAGGGCTAACTAGTAATATAAACGTGCTTAGTGGCGATCATAATTATTACAGAGATGCGAGAGATATTCCCAATTTAGTAAAATTTTTACCTAGGTAAATTATTGCGTCTTTCAGTTTCAGTTGAGATATGAAGAGGGCAATCACCCGAGCCGGGTCGTCGCGACGCTAAAGAAAAGATGCACTTTTTTGTAATTTGAAAAAAGCCACGAGCATATACCACGAGCAAAGTAACAAGGAATCTTGTATCAAGTAGGAATAGGCTACGGAAAAGAGGTAGGTAAATTTTAGAAAATGGGAATTGATAGTGCACTAGTGAGGCAGCCAAGTGCGAGACTAAAATTTAAAATTAGAATTTGTGGCGACGTACTAAACCAAGAAGGAATCAGTCTAAAATTGTGACTTATGTTCGGTAATGTCTCCACTGCTATTACAGTGATACTAATAGTATTAACGATTGATACGTGGGTGTACTGCGAGTACACATCCTGCCTAAATTGTGCTTAAGGATATAACATTCGCTATGTTGGTATGTGTAATGACGAACACAAGTAAACCTACTTGTCTAGTAGTCATTATCATAAACAAGCTTCCACATAAAAGGTTAGCTTAGGTCACGTGTAATTCAGCTAGACGAGATGCAATTAGGGTATCGTTAATTACTATAAAGACCGACCAGAGGTTCATTATCGTGAGCCTGGGAGACAGTTATGAGGATTAAGCATGAAACTTGGCCATTATCGTGTATGAACGAAACACCTTTTAGGTAACTAGAGTTATGCCCACGTAATATGAAATGTAATTTTTGAAACTAAGTACCTATTCTACGATTTTGTACAGATTTGTAGACTATTTAAAACCATGATGCATTTATGAACGTCAGTAAGCAATTTGTGCACAATTTAAAAGTAATCACTTTATTATGCGTATTAGAGACGACTTAGTGGTTATATTAATTTTCAGATAGTGTGTAGTATTGTAAAAATTTTGGTCCTAAAATAGAACCTTGCAGCATGCAAATTAGAATTACGAGTATGATATGATAGAATTATTGTACTTATTGATATTGATACGACGATTATTAAGTCTGTTCAAATGTTTGAATCTGTTAAAAATACGCCTATACAAAGTCAATCAGTCATACGACAAAGATTTTAAAAGTAGCTCGGATATAGTCGTGCTACAATTCTTCGAACGCCTTTCTTAAAGCCTTGACATGATTGGTAGCGAAGCGAAACGTGCCTATAGGTTTAATGCTCATATTGATAGCTGATATTTAGAAAAATATCGGTATCTTTGCATTCTGGAATAAACTTTGAAGGAAATTATTTATTAGTTTCTCGGCTAGACGTAATAAAATTTAATAACATAACGCAAATCATTACACGCTTCTCATTACATAAATAAAATAGAAATTAGTTGGAAAGCCGTGACTAATCTAGTATAACATCAAAGTGCAGGTTATATCTGTCATTACCCTACATAGCCCGGCTAGATGTTGATTGGCCTTTTGATAACCTATAGTGGTTTGGCCTATATGTAAGTAGATATGGTTTATAATGACTAGAATGAATTTCTCACTCACCATTCCGGCACATTGAGCTTCTGCAATGACCTCTGGACTCGCAATTCGTGCTCAGAAAGCACGCGGTCTGAATTCTTCTGCAGTTCGTTCTCTGGAGGCTGAAACAAATAAAATGATATTATAATCCAAGATTTTAGTCACTATGTAACAAAAACACAAATACTATTTAGTTAGAACCTACATTTTTGTTAGAAAAGCAATCACAAAGGCGTTTATAGATTTATAAATGATTTATAAAACAATTGTTTAAAATTCGCAGATGGGCAGAAGTCTATTAATGAATAAAAATTGAAAAAAAAAACTCTTTGCGTCATGGTAACTTGAATCGATTTATTCAGTTTACAACATTTACTTTTTATTATTATATTTGTAAAAAATGCATTGAAATATTTGTTTTCACCTACTTCACGGCGTCATAAAACTTCTTGACTATCGTCAAAAGAATTATGAGCGAGGCGGTATACCGTTCCAAAGAATGAAGGATCTTTTTGTGGTTCTTTTACTAAATTTTCTTCACATGTACTTAAGTCTAGCATTGATGATGAATCAAGCATATGACCTTGTATTTTCATTGTTTGGTGTATCTTGTAAATAGCAAATCTTGCATATTCAGTTTCTTCATCCACGGTGTCGTCTAATTCGAAAACTTTCGCATCAACAATGTGTGATCCACTTATTACCTCTTCACTTGTCAGTGAAGATTCTTTACTTTGAATATTACTATGATTTACTTCGCACTCCATTAGTATTTCAGACCAAGACGGATAATAATCTTGATCGTCAAGATTTTCATCTACGTCCGCAATTATATTTTCCACCGAAGGCGATATCATTATATCAGATATTCCATAGATAGAATCATACCACGATTCATTGCTTTCAAATTCAGCCTTCGTCGTATTAAGATTAAAGCTGACTCTTCTTTGAGCTTTCTTCAATGTAGAAGTAGTCGGTAATAAGCCGTGTTCATGCTCGGTTTGTAGTATTTTATCCCTTTCAAAATCTATATATCCGGGAATGTCAACGTCACTAAGCTCCGAGTAATATTTTGTTGACTTGGCAATAGAACAGGATATAATATCTGGTAATGAATCTTCTGGTGGTTCTAGTGGAGGCGGTGGTACACTTTCTAATAAACGTTTGAAAAAGTCTTTTACTCTTTCATCATTACTTTTCGAAGGATTGTTATTTTCGAAACTTCTGCAACTTTTTGTGGAAAGTGAAAAATTGCTACATCTATTTTCTATCAGAGAAATAGCTCTTCTTGGTTCGTTGTTAAGTGAAATATTGCTAGGAGATCTAATTCCATTCCAACTCAAACGAGAATGTCTTGAATTACGTCGTTGCGCACAGAATCGTCTCACGCTGATCTTTGATTTCCACTCTTCGTGTTTACTTTGGAACCCGATTAAACTTAAAGAATTGTCATCATCCGATTCACTTCTGGGTATGTCCGGGTACCTTGTATAGTAATAGTCTCTTGATAGGGGTTTTTTAAATATATGCTCTTCCTTAACTTCTTCAAAGGGTTCTAGTTCTTCAGTAAACCAAATTGCATCCAAGCAGTACCAAAAACTATTTCTTTGGAGTATCTCTTCTGTAGTTAAAAGCAGTATTGACACCATTTCTCAGCACACTTCACAACACTTAAGTTCAAATAGTACTAACTGACTGCACGAAAACGTATTTCGTTTAAGTAACAAACGATATTTGTTTTGCTAATTAGTTATTCATAGTGTAATTAGTATAATGAATACGCAGTTACTACTGACATTTCTTATTTGTTTTATTTATCGTAACGCATCTTTAACAAACTTTCGTGAAAGGAGAAATTAAATGAAGTGGAAAATGTCATTTTAAAAAAGTTTTTGGTCTTATAATGTTAGAATCTAATAATACTTTAATAATGTTTTAAGTATATTTTTATTTTGTATAAATAAACAATTATTAAGTAACGAAAGTAGAACATTTGGTGACAATGATTTCCTTGGGTTACGAACTCACCCTGACATCTGAGGAGGCAAGTAGCGCACAAGGCCCCAGCAGTCCTACACTTTCCCAGCAAGTCATGTCCACTAACTGTTCCACTCACGTCCAGTGTCCGCTCTATCCTACACTCGTATGCCGATCTTACAATCGCATCGTGATGCACCAGTGGCTCCGTTATACGAAGTTACGTAAGTTATCATATCACATTCGATATGAAACAAATGTTTCGATTCGATACAACTAAAGCGGCTACACTTAAAGCTACGAGAGCCTCCCGAAGAAGTGAAAGAAGCAAGCTGCAATATCGAAGCGGAAAGCGTTCGCCAATCAAATCAGAATAACGTTGCTTATCGAACGACAAAATCCAATTACAAGACTGAATCGGAGCGACCGCGGGGCTTCCGAGCTTAAGGTCGCTCTGCGGGCCGGTGCCGGGTCTCGAGCTGGGTCTGGCATGCGGTGTTCGGGTCGGACTTACGCGTCTGCCACTGCGGCACTCCGCATCGTGGGACATGGAGGTAATGTCCGAGAGGGCAGGCGGCCGCGGCGCTGCCTCCCGCCAGACTGAGGCGCGGCGCGTGTCCTTGGATAGCGCGCATGCTCCGTTCACACACCCTTACTATCAGATTCTAGTGGTTTCAACAATCATTTTGATACGATGACACATTTCTTCTTTGCTCTATTCAAGTTTCGCTTACTCAGATGAAATGTCTATTGTAAGCATGACTTTCAAGAAAATTGTATCGTGTTTTGAATGGTTACAACACATTGCTGGTATTACAGGCGTATTGTAAAATTTATTGGAAATCAAAGGAGCGATGGACGTGTGTCGCGCCGATAGACTCAAGGAGGCTGAACAGCTGATGTGCACTTGTTCTTAGTTCGAGAAGTGGAGCATTTGTTTGGATGTGGGTGTGGCATTGCGTGACATATTGGGTCTAGTTAACAACTACCTGTATCAATATTGTAACACGAGTATTGTTAATTAACCCTTGTCGTTGCTAATATATATGAAAAATGAAAACTTCAGTCCAATATTCGATAAAAAAAGTACCGCAATATTGTGCCTTCAATTTCCTTAACCATATGTTTGCCTCGGGGGTGTAGTAAAAACGTATTACTGTAATGGTATCATTACACAAAAACATGGAATAGGTTACATTACTTACGAATAAATAAAGTAAACCATCGATTCTTTCGGCTTTCATCATAATTACAGTCACGTATATTTATCGTTCCAAAACTTTTGTTGGCAATCATTTTACTCATAAAACACATGACACACACCAAAATTTACAAAAGTTTAACATTGTCCATAAAAACGTGGGGAGGATGACTCTGACCTGAATTCAGGACATGTTACGTCCTCGCGTAAATACGGGAGCAATGGGACTGTGTTTCGTATCTCTGAAGGGTTATGACAAATAAAAAGCATAGGTACGCATATGTCAGCAATTGAGGTTTTGAAGGATATTTCTGTCAGAGTGGATGGATGTTGCCGATTAGACCTTTATAGTGTCAGGAATGTCTTATCTACGGAGGAAGGCAGCGGTAAACGGTTTCCTTCAGTTAATGCACCTGATGTGCAGGATGACTGCATTCAATCAATCTCTATTTTTAAATGACATTGGACCTCTTTCGGTGGACAATATTTAATGGCATGAAGATCAAGATTGAATTGAAAACATTAAGCTATTTGGATTTTATAACAAAAGGCAGGACCGTAATACACAGTTGTTTCCGGATGACCTTACTGATAATATATGTTATAAACGAAAGCTTAACGCAAAGGTCGAACTTACCAAATAAATATTAATAATTATATCCGGCGTGACATGCTATTTAGACATTAATGCCGTAAAATTTTCGTGAGTAGTTTTATTTTTGTTACCTATATTTCGTTCATTCAGGTAAGGCGGTCATGGTAAAACTGTAATATGTATATTATCACATAAAATAATACATAACGTAGAATATCTTTATTGCGAGGATGAACTGGGGCTCGAGTCTGCTATTACAATAGTGTCAGAATAGTAGATCATTGGTTTCAAAATTGATCATTTTGACAAGTTTGGTAATCTACTAACACGATAGCGTCATTATGACTTGAATGATCAACCAATGCCACTTCATTGAAATAATTCTTTAGAACGGTAATCTCGTACATAAATATTTGACATAATGCGGTAAATTAATAAAAAAATTACAGTTCCTTTATTCAATTATTTACGTTCAGAATATTAATGTGCAGTTATTGTTTATTTAATTCGTTACAAGACATCTCTTACTATAATTCTACTACGACACCGCCGAACAATGATTAGCCATTTTGAATTAACAGATTACGAACTTTTAGCAAAATGACAATGGAATCGTGTAGGAATGACAACACTTTGAAAATAGTAGACTCAAGCCCCTGATTGTCATCATTATGGTTTTCATCATATAAATACTTCTGACAGATTGCAGATGTCAGCTGTCAATTTAAAAGCAATTTCCAGGATTGGCCAGCTATGTTAGTCTCCATAAGCATAGCCACTAACACAGTACAATCATTTATCGTCCAGCAAATGTGTGATAATGAAAGTACATTTAAGTCTTCCTCTCGCTAATAGTCACACCTTGGCTCCTAATTACCACTTGCCCATACCTCGTCAGTGTCGTTACATTAGCGTCAACGCATGAAGAGGAGAATTAGGTCAGGTACAGATAGATATCGGATTAGTGTGGAAATTGCGTCGGGAATCGGGATCCATCTTGGATTCTCTCGGGCACCATTGCTAATCACTACGCGACAGCCCGTATCGGTGGTATCAAGATAAATAAGCGCTGTCGAAAAATAATTTTGTTGGCGTGCGTTGCGTCTATTTTCGGGAAATTGGTTTGTATACCTAAACTCAATAAGCACTTCGAGGAAAATAAAAGATACACGCGATATCGTGACCAATTTTTATCAAATCTTCTATGGTTATTGTAGAATAGAAAGTGTATGTATCGAGTTGAGTGGAAAATTGGAATTTAATACATAATTACATGGTAGGAAAACTCGTTATTTAAAGATTTTCGACCTTAGCTGTCATTAATTTATGAATCACCCATATTAACGGAATCAATAGTAATTTCACGTAAATGATTTTATGTTCACTCAGTTTAAATAAAATGGTAAAACTTCCCTTTTTAAATCGGCGAATGAAATCTTATAGATTCTTTACTAACTCAAGCCCACTCACTCAGATCTTCAGCTAAAGGAAAGTGCTGAATAAACAAAGAGTGTCTGGGAAAACAAGCTTACTTCAAGCTGTAGATGACGTCACAAGCTGGCGAGACTTATCTCAAAATGTTCCACAAAACCGCTGCACATTTTAAATTGAGTTTTAAAATAAATTGAACGTAAAAGATGGAGAGCTTTGTAGATTATTTCTGATAAGCGAAAGTGGTGGTAGAAGGATTTGCTTGTTTGGGTCAATTGTATATGTATTAAGTACAAGGTACTTATGTAATCAGTTAAAAATATTGTTTTAAACTGTAGTGTCAAAATATTAGACCAGTTTACGATTTCAAAAAACTTCTGGCAGTAAAGTTTTAGATATAATTAAAAAACTTAATTCTAATAAGGCACCTGGATCCGATAAGTTTAAAATATCTGATATTAAAATGATAGGTTCTGATATCTCAAACGCTATTGCCAACTTGATTAACTGTAGTGTAAGTTCGGGATTATATCCAGATGAATTGAAGATAGGATGCGTTAGACCGGTATATAAAAAGGGTAAACGTGACGACTACGCTAATTATCGCCCTATTACATTGCTTTCTTCTATACTTAGATAAAATTGTTGAAAAATGTGTAAGCCAACAAATCCATAATTTTTATAAAAAACATAAAGTAATTTACTCAAATCAATACGGATTTCAATCGGGCAAAGGAACCACGGACTTATTATCGAAATTTACTGATGAAGTTAATGGAAACCTTAATCAGAAAAAAATAGTATACGCTTTATTTATTGACTTCTCTCGAGCTTTTGAGACATTAAATCATAAAAATCTAATACATAAACTAGAAATTAGTGGCATACGTGGCCCTTTGCTGAAATGGTGCGGGAACTACTTGCATAACAGAAAGTTTTCTGGTAAGGTTAGTGAGTCCCTAAGTAAGACAATTGAAGTTACAGAGGGCACAGCACAAGGTTCAGTCTTGGGGCCCTTACACTTTTTGGCCTATGTGAACGATATGAGTAGCTGTATAGAACACAGCACTTGTTACCAGTTTGCAGATGACACTTGTTTAGTAGTAGCTGATAAGGACCCTCAAAGTGCGTGTGATCGTTTGCAATCCGATTTCAACTCATTATTAAAGTGGTGCCACGATTCTGGATTAGTACTCAATGCTAATAAAACTAAATTAGTAATAATAAAGTCGCCATATTTAAAATGCTATTATCCTAAAAATATAATTGCTCACGATCATAAATGTTTGCATGACATTCGTACGGGGACATGTAACTGTCCTCGTATAGAGGTAGTAGCTTCTCAAAAATATCTAGGACTTGAGATTGACAACAAATTTAACTGGGGCAAGCACGTTGAGCATATTTGTAATAGGTTAAGGCAATTTTTAGCTAATTAAAAATTCTTAAGAACCGAATACCCTTCAAAGTTAAACTTATGTTGTATAATTCCTTAGCTGAATCATATATCCAGTATGGACTAAGCAGTTACGGTAGGACTTTTAAAACTTATCTCAACCAAATATACAAACTGCAACTAAAAATTCTTAAAAATATTGTGTCATCAAATATAAAAAACAAATTCAGGGACAATGATCAAGGATTATTCAAACATTGTAATGTATTACCCGTTCACACGCAATTTAATTATGTGATACTTAAAGAACAATTTTTTAATGACCATTTAAAAAAACTTATCCAACACCCTGTATACACCCGAGTAAATTGTAAACCGTAAATTGAATCAATTTATTATTATAATTGATTTGCACAGTAAAATACTTTAAAGTCTTTGTTGGAATGGAAAGTAATCTGGACATTGATCTTTAGACAGAGTTAGAGACATGACTCCAAGTTCAACAAACGCATTAAAATATTGCATTACAATCCCTTTCTGGTTAACAATAGCAAGAACAATTATTACCTAATTGGGTAGCCAGTATTATATACCATATTCTTGCGGAAGACACATCAAAGAGCATTGCAAATGGAAATTCTATTTCATCATCAGCCTATAAGTGCCCACTGCTGAGCAAAGGCCTCCTCTCACATGGAGAAGGTGAGAGCATTAATCACCACGCTTGCTCAATGCGGGTTGGTGATCTCAAACTTATAATTAGAAATTACAAGTCCAGGTTTCCTCACGATGTTTACCTTCACCGTATGTCAGTGGTGTCTAAATAATCATAGAAAGTACATATAACTCGGAAAAAGTCACATTGGTACTTGCCAGGTTTCGAACCCACACCCTCATGCATGAGAAGCGGGCTCCTTAAATATAATTTTATTTTTAAATTCTATTTAAAATCACTTAATTGCAGCCGTATTGCGCAGACATAGATACGCTATTCTGAGAGATACAGTGCCTT